CCCCACCTTTTTCTCCTCATATTTCATTGTAATTATAAGGAAAACAGAAAGGGAAAAATTATAATGGAAAACAGATGAGGTCAGGAATAAAAGTAATATGAAATAGTCATCTAATTGCAGGCCCATTACCCCTAACAATCTTGTTAGTTTTAAGATTCCTCTTTGGGATAGCAGAATACAACAGTTACTAGTATGGCATTATGTAAAAATGTGTATATGTAACCGATGTGATTCTGCAATCTGTATTTGGGGTAAAAATGGGAGTTCATAACTCACTTGAAACTAATGTTTGAAATATGATATGTCAAGAGCCTTGTAATGATTTGAACAACCAATAAAAAATAAATAAATAAATAAATAAATAAAAAGAAATGATCAGAAAATGATAATTGAACAAATACTATTCCCAAGGGCATGAAAATAAGTATCTAAATATAAGTCCTTTAATACTATTAGATGTTATCATTTAGAAAACTATACAGGATTGCTAAGTGAAATAAAAGGAGACCTTTGAAAAGTTTAAAAAAAAAAAAAAGATTCCTCTTTGGCTGTTGCAGAGCCACTCAGATATGCTCAGAAGTTAAACTAATTGGCTTCTGTTTATCTCTTAATATTTCAATTGTTCTTCCTTTTTTACCACCCCAGCAAGCAAGATGGTATTATATGAAAGAGCTCAGGCTTGGAATCAGAATTCCTGGCTTAAATTCCATCTCTACCATTTATTGATGATTATTTAAGTTCTTCTGTCTCAGTTTCTTTATTTATAAATTAGTAATAATAATAATTGCTCCTATCCTAATGGTATTAAAAGAGTTTAAGAAACTGTACACTCACTGGCTCAAGGTAAAAGTTAACCATATAATTAGAGTAAGGGAGTTGCAAACCTCAAGTTTCAATAATGACTTGTTTTTTGAGAGTAGTGCTTATTAAATATAGTAGAATATGATTGTACCAAACAAAATAATAAGCAAAGTGCCTTTCGACAGACTTCTCTTCTGTTTTAAAAGAAGTGTCAAGAGTTGAGTTTAGCTGGGTATAGTGGTGCACGCTTGTGATCCCAACTGCTTGGGAGGCTGAGATAGGAGGATCATGAGTTCAAAGCCAGCCTCAGCAATTTAGTGGGATACTAAGCAACTCAGCAGAACCCTGTCTCTAAATAAAATATTAATAAGGAGGGTGGGTGCTGGGGTTAAGTGCCTCTAGGTTCAATTCCCAGTACAAAAAAAAAAAAAAGAAAATTGAGCTTAGTAAATTGCCTTGCAAATATTGTTATTCATAAAATATTGTTGGCTTAGTTCTAAGAGCATAATTATTTTAGATATGTTTTTTCCACCAACAGGAGGGCGGGTACTTTTGGATTTTATGACTTTTTGCTTTTTTACTTTTTGTTTTTAACCCATGCAAAAGCTACTTTGCTGTATTTTTAGTTTCTAAAACTGAACCACAGTGTTTAAGATTGAAGCCTTGAGAGCCTATTTTACCTAATGTTTGTTGATGCAGGTAGCTGTATTAAGAAGGACTGCATTTTCTCTGTGGTCTCATGTGATGCATGCCATAAGGCTTTTGAGGACTTTTGATTTCACATGCAATTTCTAACTTCGTCTTCACCATTTATTTTTGGAATCACAATAACTAATATATATTTTCTTGAGTCCAATTAGTATCTCTTAAAAAGCTACAGGACTTTATTTCTGCTAAGTTTTTTTTAATTATAATTTTAATAAAAGGTTCTTCTTTTTGCATATAATTTTCAAGCTATTAAAACTTAATGAAAACTGGAAGTAGATCACTTGGAACAATTAGGGGTCTCTAGAGCAGATACAGATGCCTAAATATTTAAAGATCCATTTTTGTGACATACTTTACATTTAACATTTATAATTAACTTTTTAAATTTCATTTTCATTTTTATTTTTTAATTCATTTGTTTCATTTTAGGAAAGAACTGCACTGGAACACTCTTATGTAAACAAAGGCACTTTTTGAAAAATTAGAGTTCTAAATCAGACCTTAATAAAACCTCTTTATTCTCTATCATACATTGTTTGTTGTTAGTCTTCAGCTTCAGGGGTGCATTTATTCCACATATAAAATGTAACTTCTTCCACTATTTCTAATGGGGTCCTTTGATTTTTAGTTGCACTGTTAAAGGCCTGATCCCTTCCATCCTGCTATGCCTTTAATCCATGTTTAAGGAGGACAGTGAGAATCTGGTTGTGTATTGTACAGGATTGGTTTGTCCAAAATAGTTCGTTTTCTATTATTATTTGAGAAATGACTAAAAATTATTTTTTCTGTTTATCTTAAAAAATTAAGGTTTAGTAAACACACATATAAATTTTGTGTTAAGAGATAGGTAGGAAGAAAAGTCTTCATTTCCCTCTCCTTTAACCTGGATGGGCCTTCTGGAAATGCTGGCTGGCTCTTGGCAGGCTTTCTCAAGGTACTTTCTGCTTGGATACCTACCTTGGGATGCAGAAATCTGTTGGTCTGTCCCTTACTTCTTGGTGCTGCATGAACAGAAGGTTACAGGATTGATGTACACAGTGTACTATTTTAATTTCTTGCAAAGAGTTTTTTGGATTCCTTTGCTGTACTCCTTGAAATGGTTAAGGTGATTTTTTTTCTTTTTCTTTTTCTTTTTAATGCCCATAATGTTGATGGCTGCCTGATAGCATCCTGGGAAGTTCATTTCACTTTTAAATTTGGAACCTCTTTGCAGAGAATGCCCTTAGGGATCATTGTAGTCAGAGAACCCTGGGGAGTATCTCCATTTTGATGTTTAGTTGGCATTTGCTATGGGCTTTCTCAACTGTGTCGTTCCCAGGAATTTTTGAGTGTTTCCAGTAATGGTCATTTGCACTTAGGTACAAGTCCCTACACAGGCACTGTTGGTTGTCAGTGAGATGCCACTGTTCAGACTGTGAGTGCATCCATAATATCTCTCTCTTATTTGCTAGGCAGAAGATGGTGTTAGTGATGAGCTGCTGGCTGGCACCCTGCAGAGCAGGAGTGAGTGAGTGCTGTTCAGCTCTCCGGTCCTGTGAGTCTGATGCCTCTTCTCCATGTTCTGGCATCACTGCCAAACACGCGTTGAAATCCTTCATGATCATCAGTTTGTCGGATGATTATATTGTTGCAAAGAGTCTGTCCAGGTCCTTTTGTATCTCTTTTCTTTTTTGTCACCTTAGTGTATGTCTGTTGTGATGGGGGCATAGGCACTGATGATGATGGAAGAAGGCATGGTATATTTCACAGCTAGACTAGAGATTTGGGGATTTGGTGAATGATGACAAACTCTACAAAGGAAAGCTCTTTAGAGCACCACTGTCATCAGCCCAGTGCTTCATGAACTTTTGTTTGACAAATGGACTTTGGCCTGGTCCTGTGGTGCCGCGTGTGCTTCTCAACAATTTACTCATTTTTCTTGTGGATTGCTTCATGGTGTGGTGTGCTGTTGCTGTCTACCACACCTGTTACAGGCTAAGGGATGTTTCTTTTCCCATTTGCTTTCACAGTGTTTCACAGAAGCATAAGCACAAGTGCAACAAGCCAATGAGGCTTGTTTGGTAAAAGACAATCTCTAAGTCACCTCTTCTACTGTCCTCTTCTCCTTTGTGAGTACTACAACCCTAGCAGGACCTTCTGCATGGCCAAGGGACAGGCAGAGAAGGCTGTGAGAAAGAGGCCTCCTGTTTGTGTAGAATTGTGGAATTGGGATGCCCCTGCCATCATCAGATTTGAGTTGGGTGGCCTCTAACAGAAAAGGGTGACACAGTGCCATTTGAATTGACCATTATACTATATGACTGAGAACAAAACAGACCTATTAGACATTTTCCTTAACAGCATGTTTCTGTATCTTCATCTCCCTCATTTGCTATTGTGTGAGGCTCTTAACATTATGTTCTGATTAAGTTCTCTTTTAAAGTCAGTACCCTATGTAGAAATTTACTGTGTACCAAAGAGCACTTCACTGGTAGAGTTGGAAAGTATGTGTGGCTGCATATGTGACAGATAAGGGTGGTCACAGCATCCTCCCTTAATGTGGTGAGCATTTAAATTGCACATTTGGGGTAGCCAAGCACATTCTTCCTTTGTAACACTCTTGTAAATTTCTTCAACAGTTCAGGTACTACATGGAGGCTAGCTTTGGATGTGTAAGGTATTATTGTGGTCCCAGACCCTCTCGATTCCTTTCATGTAAACTGCCCATTTGTAGTTCTAGAATGGAAACTTCTAAGAAACATGAAATGAGTCATTAGGATCTTTAATTGCAAAAGAGAGTGATCATAATCTACCTTTATTTGTTTCTTTTGTTGTTTCCTTATGAAATGTCTTTCACTTGGTTACTCATTAGGGACAATCTGCTAAGAAATCCAAGGTAAGAAGGATTGTAATGATAGACATCCTGCTTTCCCCCAGCACAGGTGGCTGAATACATCCTCTGATGAGGAGAGAATCTCCAGGGCTCAGCATTTATTTTAAGTGGAATTTAATTCCAGCATGTTTAGGTACAAGAAAAATATTTACCCCATAAAATAAAATTGTTGGGAAAATGATTTTTATTAAGGAAACCTGATTCCTAAGCATGGCAATCAAACCTTTACACTCCATTTAGTTAAGTATAGGCTTCAGGATGAACAATTATGATTTTTATAATTATCTTAAGTGTCAAACAAGCAAGTTAGTAAGTTATAGATTTTTATTTATTCAATGAAATGATTGTAGATACTGCTACATAATTAATTTTGCATTAGGGTAATCATTCAATTGACATGAATCTTTCTTACAATAAATTTATATAATATCGAACTAATCAAGACTTCTGTTGTATTACTTACTCTCCTTCTCCCTGCCTTAGTCTCTATTTGGTTTTTTATGGTGTATGGTAAATGAGTTGTTTGAAATTTTCTTGTTGAAGTGAAATACAAATTTGGATTATTGGAAGTTATTATTTGGAGGCATCTGGCTCATCCTTGTTTTTGTTTGTTAAACAGGAAAAGGACCAGCGCAGCCTAGACATAAACACTGCCAAGTGCATGTTGGGACTGTTATTAGGAAAAATCTGGCCCCTTTTTCCAGTTTTTCACCAATTCTTAGAGGTACCAAATTGTTATTTTATGAAATGTATATTTGCTTGCTTAGAACTACCAAGTATACTTTCCTTAACCATTCTGTGTAATTTTTGTTTGTCGTACTTTATCACTCATAGTAAACATGGTGCCATAACTGCTGTCAGTCAGCACTCCCTGTCTTCTGGAGCTCGTCTGTCCGCGTTGCTTGGTGGAGCCTCATTCTGCCTTACGGTGCATCACATGTGGCTGCAGCTCTGTCCTTGCCTCGCCCCTCTCAGCCCAGTTTTTCCTTTTTTTAAATTTACTTTGTATGAGCCCAGTTTTAAAAGCTTCATGGCTGCTTAGTTGCCTGCTCTTTATAACAATAGAAAAACAAGGTTTTCTTTATTTAATGGCTTTAGATGAATTTCCAGCTTTGATTATAAAAGTTAAAAAAACAGCCATCTGCCTTCTTACCAAAATTAGTTTGTAATCTGTTTTTATTTACTCTTATCTGCAAGTCACTTGGGGAATTTAGATCAACTTAAGTACTGTATTGAGAAAACTGACAGTGTCGCCTTCAGTTTAAATTTTCTTTAGATGTGTATTAGAAACAACCAGCACTATTCCATCAATCTTTGTTTGCTTTAAGTATTGATGATCAGAATTTTTGAGCTGCTAGTTATGAGGAGCTGGTTTTGTTGAAATGTCCTGCTGCTGCACCTGGAAGTGTCTGAAATATTTGAGTTACTTGGGCTGTCTGCGGCATTCTCCTTGCCCTCTTGCCCCAAGCCCTTTTAAAAATGCCCCTTGCTTGCAAGAACATCATAGACATTGTTGGGTCTTGGAGAAAATCCTAGATCTTCCCTGACTCCAGCTTCCTTCTTGCACTAATAATCTTTCTGACAACTGGACAATGGTCCAGAAGAACCTAACAATTGATAGAATTCTTTGAGGACTGTTATCTCTGGGACTCAAGAAAGTTGTAAAAGCTGGTTTTAATGTAAGTATTTGTTTATATGATGGTTCCCCTCCATGTCCGATCTGTTGTCATTTCTCTGACAACCCTGTAAGATACAAGCTCACTATTGGAACAAAGACGGAACTAGGTTCTCGCTTTTAGTTTACTGAGCAGGAGTTGAGCTGAGTGTGAAGGGTCCTTACTGAAAGACCTGGCTGTGAGGAAACTTGATGTTGCACAATCCCAGGATCATTACCAGCTGTTTCAAACTATTCTTTGATTCCACTTGCTTAGAAAGGTAAACTTGTAGTCTGTGCTTTGCTCTTATACAAATTTGCATTTTCTTTTAAAAGGAGACAGTGATCCTTTGATTCTAGCTTTTCTTATGTTTATATCCTCAAAACTATTGACTTAATTAATTCTCTTTGTTTTTTATGCATTTGTATTTTCCTATGTTTTAGTGGTGAGGAGTTAAAAATTATTGGTTGTGGATTTTATTTTAAAATCTGTGTTTAGGAATATTATATTTTTAAAAAAGCCTATATAGCATATTTCTTGTCTAAGAGGATTTGAGGAACTACTTCACAGCTATTCCAGTTTCTTTTATGATCAGATTCAAGTTCTTAATTATTTGAATAGTAATTTTCTTCAGTGGCAAAAGCCCCCAGTTCTGAGGTCACTTGTAGCACTGATAACAAGTTCTCATCAAGTGACCCACCGCTGCATGTGCTTCAAGCCAGCAGCTTGGCAGTGAGCTGTGCTGGTCATGTTGAGGATTATTAAGGGGAGCTACTCTTTATGTAACACTTTGTGCCAAGGACTGGATAGAGTGCTTTGCATAAATTTATAAGTTCTCTCTTAATTCTTGTAGCATTGCCATTTTACATAAAAGGGCTTCCACAGTATAGAAATTTCACTTCTAGGAATATGAAATTGTGTTTCTTTGATGTTCTTGTCACCTTGAATTGCCACTCCCCACCCCCCGCCCCATATTTTGTAAGGAAAATTGTCATCTTAAATTCTACTCTTGGCTCTCCCTTGCTTCCTCCTGCATCAGTGTTTGAATGGAAAGGATTAGCTCTACATGAAGTTTATTAAGTTCATACAGGAATTGAAACTGTCTCACTTGTTCATTTTAAGTGTAATCATATTCCTTTTCCCTCCATCAGCAATCAAAATATAAAGTGATTAACAAAGACCAGTGGTGCAATGTGCTGGAATTCAGCAGAACAATTAATCTTGACCTCAGCAACTATGATGAAGATGGAGCATGTGAGTACTGGGTGCGGAATGTCCCCTCCCCCCCTCTCCCACATCCTTGGACATAGCCTGCCTGCCTCCCTGAGAAAAACCTTAGAGCCACTGTGGTTTTTTGTTTTTTTTTCCCTCTCTCTCCAGGGCCAGTTTTATTGGACGAGTTCGTGGAGTGGTATAAAGACAAACAGATGTCCTAGGACTTTATGCATAGCAGCGAGAGAGTCACTGTTACCACAGTTATGTCACCCATTAGCCATAAATTGCTGTTTGTATCAAAGCGCATGCTGCTTTTCTTGCACTGTCTCCCTTTCGCAGGGATGTTTTGGTGTTTGCTATTGATGGGCCAGCTCTGCTTGCTGTGTAGCATTGTTCTCTTGGAAGGCTGCTTTGCAGTTTGTTATTTACACTACAGATTGGTGAATTTGCCAACGTCCTCACTGTGATTATGTGTATATTGCTGTTTAAATTTTGTATATGTGTATAAAAAGAAAAAGCTTCACCTAGAGATTATTTCTGCAAAAATGTATTGTAAAAATAATTTTGTGGCATATTTCTAGTCCCTTTTTTCAAATGAACCAGTTATACTTTATTTGGTCTCAAATGTAGCATTTCAGAAAACAAGACAAAACAACTGTTACCATAAGCAAACATTGCCAGAATTAACTATACTGTTTTAAGAGGCCAACTTCTGGAAGGAGGTAGGAGTCATAACTTTTCCATGGCATATGCCAAATATCATTTGGTTTACTTGACAATATTAGCTTTTTAAAATGACAAAAGTTATAATTATTTGACTACTTAGACAGGTAACATGCCACAGATCATTTCCACCATGCAAGGTATAGTATTTTTGTTTTTTAATGTTAAAACTATAGTAGGTTGAATATAGGTACAAAGGAACAAATTAACATGCACCTTTTTTGACATTTGGGGCTTAAATTCTCATGAACTTTCTTCAGTGGTCCCCCTACCCCGCCCTTTGCATTCTTGTAGCCAGTGTTGGTCTGCTGATGCTTTCTGTGCCACTCAAAGTCAAATTTATTTTGCCTACCCCATGAAAACCTACTGGTTTGCTGGCAATTTATAACTGCAGAGCACTTTTTAGTTGTGGCTTGAATTTTTAGTTAAGCTTTCATGGTGTCTAATTTCCTCGTTTTTTTGGGAAAAGGTATGCTATAAGTGAGTGCTGTTTCCTTTTGTTTTCTTTGTTTCTTTCATGCTAGGCTTTTCCTGGCAGCGTGTCCATTGCAGGCAGTGGACAACAGACCACCAGCATTGAGCTAATCCTATCATACAGTAGGACCTTTCCTGGAGGGGCCACTTGTCATTACCTGAGTCATTTGTACTGAAGGGTGATAGCCATTATTTATGTGGATGAGGAAATGAGTAAGTGGGATGGTATTTTTAGGTTTGTATTTTATGTCTTTTTTCTTTCTTTCTTTCCTTTTCTTTTTACCTTGCCTTCTTGAGGAAATGTATAGATAACATGTTTTCACCCCAACTATTTGGTGCTATTGAGTGACTAACTCAGTCCCTAAAGTTTTGTGAAAACACAAAAGTCTAATGATTTAACCAAGTAAAGAGCTAATGGTGCATTTGAACAAGTGATGTAAGAAAGATCCAGGCATGAGCATGTAATGATTGGAAGATGTTTGGATTATTGGCCAAAAAAATCTTTTCAATTAAATGTGAACTTTTCAATGGCATTAAATGAGTAAAGCACACAGACAATGCTACTCTTGACCACTGTTTTACAGTTTCTTTGCAAACGGTGTTCAGATTTTCATATTTCTTTTTCCCTAATTAAACCACCAAAGACAGAAATTTTGTATGTATATACAGTGTGTGTGCATATACAAAATCATGATGTGGTAGAATGCAACTACTTCCTTTTTCTACCAAATAATAAGGTTTGGTTTGCTGTGAAATAAACCACAAGTTTAAAAAACTCAGTAGTGACTAAGCATACTTAACCATTCCTTGTTTGTAGTCTCACTTTTAACTTTACAAATGAATATTTGCATACATTAATATCTGGAAAGAATAGAAAATGTTGATGGCAAACAACAGCTATTCAGACTGACATGTTGAAAAGGGTTCATGCATGTGTCGTACAGTGTTGACTGGTCATAGGCAGGTTTGGATCTATGGAGAATTGATTCATTTTCAGATGTACCCCAGTGAAGCATAAAAATCACACTTTAAAGGCCACAATTTTTAAATTTGATCCCCTATTGTTTTGTGCAAAACATATCTAAATCATAGATGAAATTATTTTAAAAGTGCTAGCATCTAGAGTTTTCTTTAAACACTAAGCGCAGTTATTCCAAAATAAAAAAGTTGTTATGAAGGGAAGAATTTTCATTTCATCCACAGTGAACATTTTGGTGATAAGAAGAACTCTCAAGTAAAAACAAGTATCTCATGTGATACTAAACTAAATATTCCAAAGGGATAATCTTGCAGTTTAGAAAACTCCAAATCATCTATAAACTTTCTTGGAAAAAAAAAAAAAACACCTCTGTGACTGCTGGTACAGAGTGCTTGCCCTTGTTTTCTTGATTTTTATATAGTTACTTTGAAGGGGAGAAAAGGGGGTCAGACACTTCTTAAAAATTTGCCTCAGTCACACAGAATTGAACAGTCATCAAGCACTTATGCATGGGCTAATGTTAAATAAATTAGGGTGCCTTCTTCTGGGTTTTCTTTAGTACCTGAGTCTACACCCTTTCTCTCTCCCCTTGTGTTGTGAACTCAACTCCATATTGCAATACTCTGTTGTTGGGGAATACAACTTTTACCTGTTTACTGCTGCAGTAGGTCAGAAATTTCATTGTTTAATTTGTTACAAACATCCACTATAATGTTACGTGCATCTTTTTGAAGCATGACTCTCTGAAGTTTTTATAATCTGACTAGACAGACCTCTAGATTTCTGGTTTAACAACAGATTTCTGTTGCCTCTCAGTCTCCATTCTAGCAGTGCTTTTGAAGTTTATACAGAAAGCTTTAAAAGTTAGTTTTTGCCCTTGGTTTTTATTCTTACAACTGCTAAAATACCTCTGTACGCCTTATCCTTTATTCTTTCATATGTTGTATAATAAATGTATAGAATTCATTGACCAACTGAAATGTTGGGTATCTGTAAATGAGACCAAAATGTGGGTTGCTTTTTTCATAAAATAATTTCTATTGGGGGTTACTGTTAAATGAACAGCAGCTAACCTATAACTGTGAATGCTTCTTGTCGTCAGTATTTGCATTACATTCATAAAAGTGTGCAAGTCCTGTGACTCCCAGCTTAACTAAAATACTGTTATGCCACCTAACTTGAGTACAGCAAACTGGTTTTAGGTTTTAATGGAATTGATGTAAAATGATATCCCATAAATAAAGAAGTATTTGTGTTTGGTTTCTGAACTGATTTGTGAGTTATTCTCTCTCTCTCTTCAAAGAGTGGGGTAGTTTTAAAGTATAATTTTTTTAATCCTTTTTCCCCCCTCAACTTTTTCTGTTGAAAAATGTCAAAGCTACAGAAAAAACAATGCAAGAATTACACACTGAACACCTACCTGTATTCCTGTCACTTCAAATTTAACATTTTACCACATTCCCTTGACCTATTCCTGAGTGTGTGAGTGTGTGGACTTCTTTCTCTGTAGGTAAATATTTCTTTCTGAATTATTTGAGAGTAAGTTACATTATGGCATGTCATACCTGATATTTTGAAATAATATTCTGTTCCCATGATAAAATTATCACACTCAAGAAGTTTAACACTGATGATATTATCTGATCAAAATTCCCAATAATGGCCTTGATAGCTATTTTATTTTATATCCAAGGATAAAAGTACTGTATTTTATATCCAAGGATAAAGGTATTGTATTTAGTTGTCAAGCCCCCTCTTTAGTCTCTTTTAACCCAAACATTTCAGATACAATATTTTAAATGTTTTGTAATGTGAACAGGCTAGGGATGCAGCTCAGTGGAGGAGCACTCACCTAGCATACACAGAGTCCTGGATTCAATCCCTGGTCTCACCAAAAATAATACTTCTCAGACAAATAGTGATTTTTAGAAAATTTGGCACCATGTGCTGTACATTGAGCTAATAATAGAGTGCTTTGGCATGGACCATGAGCAAGGCAGAAATGATCATTTTTACCATGCCCAGAGCTGCCACCCAGTTAAACTATGTTTATCAATCTGGCTACATACCACAGGGTCTTACACTAGAAGATTAGCTTCCTGAGGGCAGGACCTCTGGCACATACTGTATGGTCATTGTACAAGGAAGCAAGTTAACAGAGTTCCCAGTCTGGGCAAACACTTGTCAGCACCCAAGAAAATCCTGAAAGAATTAACACATATTTAAAGAGTTTAAGAAGTTTGAATGCAAGAAAGAGGAGGTAGCAAACAAGATTGCTACTGTTTGCATACTATTGCATACTGTTTGGGTTGGTGAAACAGATGTTCCTCCAGTTGTTGTTAGACCAAAAGCTAAGGTTCAAACCAAGAAAATCGCACATTCCTGTATTCCCAGCAGCTCAGAAGGCTAAAACGAGAGTATCGAGAGTATAAAGCCAGCCTCAGCAAAGCCGAGGCACCAAGCAACTCAGTGAGACCCTGTCCCTAAATAAAATACAAAAAAGTGCTGGGGATGTGGCTCAGTGGTTAAGTTTGCCTAGGTTCAGTCCCCGGTACCAAAACAACAACAAAAACAACAAGAAAAGCTCTTCAAGATATCCAGAAATAGGATAGTGGAGATAATGGAAAAAACTTAATCCCAAACTGAACCAAAGGAGGAGAGGTGACAAGCCTTAGAACAGGCCATTCTCCACCTGGAGTGTGATAAACAAATAGAATGTGTTACATCATCTAGTGCTGGAAAACAACAAATGGTGAGCTCTCCTGAACGATACTAGTTCACTTGGAAATCGACAGGAAATGAATATTTTCCAGCAATGCAATTGGAATACAAAGGACTGGTGAGAGAATATGGAACTAATGTCTACTCAGACAGCCCAGCGGAGATGCACTACAGATAATGACTATGAAGGAAGGAGATACAGGAAGGTTACTCTAATGGATCTTTTTAAGCCCTTTAAAACAATGGGGGATACAGAGGAAAGTGAACTGAAAGAAAAATGGAGAACGTTACTCATAGAAAAATAACTGAAGCTCATTGGATCAACCCTGGGACTACAGAAGAGGGAGGAAAATGTGCTGTTTCTGGAGAGCATCTTTCTTCATTTGCACCTACACAAAGGCCCAACCTGTTTTCCATACTTGCTGTAATGGGTCACATCAGACCAAACTCACTGGAGTAGGATCTTCAAATCCTCCTGTGAAGAGTAACTTTTATGCAGATTAGAGAAAAGCTCTTATGATTCCATTACAAAAGAATTATCTTTGGAACTGTTACAGCTAGAAAGAAAAACTATCCCCGTGGGGGAATAGCACATCAAGCTTTCTGGCCCTGTTTACTTATCTGAGCTCGTTGGCAGAAGATAATCCAACATTGGGCACGTTTGCTGCTTTTGGCACATTCAGCAGAATAATGTGCGGCTTTTCCCCTGCCTGAATTTGTTCCCGGCATTTATCTCCAGTCGCCTTAAGAAGAAATAAAAATGATCCCATGTATAGAAGTGCTTGCTTAGAAATCACTGTGAATAGGCTGTACCAGGAATTAGAAATTGAAAAACAAAAATTGACAATAGTAACTAAATGGAATTTTTAAAGGGGAAAAAAACATTTAAAATGTAAATCTCTTCTTCCAAAGAAGTTCAGTACTTTGAAAGAAGTTCCTTTGCAGTCATTCTCTGAGGAAAGTGGACTGTGAAGAATCCTAGCTGTGGGAAAGGAGGAGGCTCAAGAGGCTTGGGTTTTTTTTCCCTTTGACACTTTCCAGCAGTGACATCTCAGAATTGCCTTAATTTGAATATCTAAAATTACAAACCAGTGTTCTCTAGAATCTTAGGATAAATGTGTGAGGACAAAAAGAGCTGCAGCTGTACTCATTACCAGTGAACTAAGTCACTAAAAAGTTGGGGGCCAACTTGGAAAGCATATTGAAAGGCTTTGCTTTTTTTAAATTTTTTTCTGTCTCTGCTTGGTCATTCGTTTCTGCTCCCCTACCTGTGGTGGCTCCTTTTTATCTTGAGAACAGCTTGGACAGGGAAGTAATCCTATCACAGATGCTCATGAAGTCATTGGATAAATAAATACATGTCTTTTAGCAACTTATTCTGCATGTCTCACAAAGTGCTCAGAAGTCTTTCCTAGTCCTTATTTCTCCCACATTAAGGTTGATTTTCAGGTTTGAATGTAATTGTGACATCAGAAACTTTCATGGTGTTAGGCAGAATTCCTGTATGGAATTGGTAACAGGCATTTAAGTTTGTAAGAATGTACAGAGAAGACTAGGGAAATGAAAAACAGGTTGAAGAATTAAGCAGGCCCTCTTGAATGGGAGGTCTTAAATCCATTGGCATCAGCCATTTATAAAGGATAGATTAGAAAGACATTGACTAGGTTGGAGCTGAGAGTTCCTTCTGGAGCCCAGGACATTACAGGAATTAAATAAGGAATGAGTGAAGAGCTTTCTTTAGAGGTCAGGTACACATTCATGGATCATTTGGGGGTTGTTTCTCTAGAGCCTGGATGCACCAGCAAACTGTAATGCATTTAGGGCTATAGTCAAGAAGGCCATTTGGTGGTTTATTGACATTATTTAACTCTTTTATCAGGGAAAGTGGTCAGCCAGACAACATGCTTTATACTAATCTCATTGAACACTCTTCAACATTCATGTGAAGGATCTAGAGGAAAAATGAGGTTTGAAGAGTATGATAGTAAATATTTTTTGGTTTTCATTCATGGCTCCTGGCTTATAACTCCCACCCCAAGGATGGTCACACAATCTGTGAAATTGTATCTAGAATTTCTCTTACCAAGGTAAGTTATAGAAACTAATCTTCCCCTGCCCTTTTGTCTTGGAGATGGCTTAAAGAAATGCTCATGTTGGGTGCAGTGGCACACACCTATAATTCCAGCGGCTCAAGAGGCTGAGACAGGAGGACCATGAGTTCAATACTAGCCTCAGCAATGGTGACATGGCTAAGCAACTAAAAAGTGAGACCCTGCCTCTAAATAAAACACAAAATAGGGCTAGGGATGTGGCTCAGTGGGTGAGTGCCCCTAAGTTCAATCTCTGGTACACAAAACAAAAAATTCTTAATTACCTTGGTAGTCACAAGATCTCTGTCCTGGAGGGTCCTGCCCCAAACCCTGGAGAGAGGAATGCTACACAGAGGCTGGAAGAATCTAAACATTTAGGCCTTGCTTGGTTCTCAACACAATCTTTTAAAACTATAAAAACCCAAAGGAGTTCAGGCAGCTTCTGGGTGACGGAACATGTGGAGGTTCCTGGAGGGTGGCATGCCAGGAGAGGGCCCGGGAGTCCAAGCCCTTTTCCGGTACCTTATCCTGTGCATCTTTCACCTCCATCCTTTGTAACATCCTTTATAATAAACTGTTGAGCACAAGTTTTTCCCTGAGTTCTGAGAGCCATTCAAAGTAATTAATGGAGCCCAAGGAAGGTGGGTGTAGAAACATTGATTTTATAACCAGTCAGTGAGAAGAACAGGTGAAGCCACCTGAGACTTTGTGACTGGCATCTAAAGGGAGATAGAGGGAAGAGCAGTTTTAGGGACTGAGCCCCTAACCTGTGGGATCTATCTGATGCTAACTCCCAGTAGATAGTGTCAGAATTGAATCAAATTTGAGGACACCCAGCTGGTGTCCACTGCTACAGAATTGTTTGCTTGTGGGGAAACACCTATGCATCTCATGTCAGAAGGATCTGTTATGAGTGTATAGTAGGTGAAACTGATAGGTTTGTTTTTCCAACAGAGGTTAAGTGACTGCTTTAAAGTCACTTAGCTAGAAAGTTGGGAAGCTGATATTTAAACCCAGGTTCTGTCTCCACCCCAGCAATTTGGTGGGGAGACCACAAGATATAACAGAAGTCTTCCAGGAACTAGGAAAATTGAGGTATGTAAGCTCTGGGCTGCTTGACTTATTCTAGGATCTCTCAGGGCCCTTTTGCAGGAAATCCCCTCCCTCCATCCTCAAGCCCTGGCAGCCACCGATGTATTTCTCTCTTTCACACAACTTTGCCAGAATGTCATACTAACAGAATCCTACAGTATATAGCTTTTTATTTTTTCCTACTTTCATTTTTAATGTGTTTGAGATTTGGTCTCATACTCTTGGTTCATTCCTTTTTATTACTGAGCAGTGTTTTGTTGAATGATTATGTCACAACATGTTGATGGACATTTGAGTTCCCAACTCTGGGCAATTGCGAATTAAACTGCTATAAATATCCACATATAGATCTTTTTGTAGACGTG